CTATTCTTAGAGTGTTATATAAAGCTTAGGATCCAGAAAGAAAAGAACAGACAGAAATATAGGAAATGATAAATCAAAAGTTCTCTGATAAATTAATGTTTAAAAGCATGAAAAGGTATCTGTCAAGTTGTAACACAGGCAACCTTTTGAACAAAAAGAAGTAGTTTTACTTTGCTTTATTGTCACTGCACCTCATACAATGAAATAAAATGCCATCTTCAGTGTACATTATACATAAAAAATAACACAAAAACACACATCCTTCACATTCTATACAAATGAATTGAAACCCCGATATTGCATTAATATTGTACTATACCAGTGATGGCGAACCTTTTCGTCACTGAGTGCTGAAAAGGAAGTGCATGCATTCATTGGGGCCGCAAACTGGAAGAGAAGCTGCCCAGGGGACATGCGCATGCCAGAAAATGAACTTCCACTTTCCAGCACGCACATGCATGCCAGCAAGCTAGGCTTCCCGTTACTGGCGCACATGCGCATGTGACAATCAGCTGGCCAGTGTGCATGCTCATGCTAGAAAACAGAAGACCAGCTTTTTCAGTTTCCAGTACTGCCACACACATGAAGGCCAAATAATTGTTGTGCACCAGAAACCCGGAAGAGAAACGGGTGATGCTGCACATGCCAAGCAACTTTGGGCATGTGTGCCATAGGTTAGCTATCACAGCACTATACAGTAGTCTTCAATATAGTTACCGTTCTGGGATAGAAGTTGTTTTTCAGCCTATTTGTCCTTGTTTTTATTGTCCTGTACCATTTGCCCAGATAGTAATAGTTAAAAACAGGAGTGCCCAGGCGTGCCGATATATGGATCTGGTTTTTTTTTTCTGTTGGATTCCTAAAGCTGTCAAAGCTAATCTTGTCATTTCCCTTTTAATCAGTCATTGTGCTTCATTCAAGGACTACCTGTAACATATTAGTTGGCAAGCTGATGGCATCATGAGACGCTATCTTAGATCATCACTTTTCCCTATCTTAGGAGCTCAGTCATTGAGATGCACAATATAAACTCTTGCTTGTTGCCTCTCCTGTTGGTGTAACGAAGCAGAGGAAGAAACATCCTATAGGTTTCTGCCACGTTCAGTTTTCCTTCGAGTTTTTCCCCATAATTTGTACATTCTGTTCCAGTAGCAAACTATATTCATGTCATTATGTAATATACAGTCCTACAGTTATTTATACAAGTTTAAGCTGCCTTTCCACCAGGTAAGGACTCTAAACTTGTAGCCAGCTAGAGTGACTGTATTTGGCTTCAAGAGAAAAACCACACAGAAGAGGAATTGCAGCATCCTTGCCAGGCTGGTACTGCTTAGGACAGGAGGTGAGCTGCAGAGTAAATAAGATACATCCAAGAAACCTCATTTGACCAGCCATTTTCCCAACCTCTGTCTTTGGTGAAGGAAGACATTTGCCTGTCCTTTATTCTTTCTGTCCTTCAACCTTCCTCTCTGCATATAGGATGGGAAGAGGGGAAGGAAAGTTTGCAATGCCTACAACCTTCAAAAATCTTCCAGAAATCCTGGGATTGTCCTTTGAGATAAGGAAACAAGCTTCACTTTTTTGCATTGTGCTTTTTTATTTTTTATTTTAAATTGGGGATGGAAAACAACTTATACTTAGCTCACAGTGTTCCTTCTGAGAAAGTCTCTATATTGCACTTTATCTTTACCTTTATTATATTTGACAATGTCATTAAGTGTCCTTTTTTTTCTTTTTATCCCTTTTGTAAAACAAAGAAAGCAGATCTTTTTAGCTGCTTTTCAAAGAAGGCTGCCTATGCCCTTTTTGACCTCTGCATTTTTATGGCAGGGCCCTTATCTAATTCTTTATTCTTGCTTAAACTTGCTTAAATCAGTTGTTCCAATGATGGCTTGACAGAGTCTGATAAAAATGTTCTCTGTCTCTCTGTTAAATAAAGTAATTCCCTTTATCATTCCAAACTAACTGAATGACCTTGCAGTCCAATGTTCCATATTGGGGGGGATAATATTCTCATCTAAACGGCCTTTTTTTTCTTCCTTCACTCCCACTTTCCATAATATGATTTTCATTACTCTCATTTGATCTGTAGAAATATATGGGAGACCTAAAGCTCATGGACCCACAATGCAAATATGGCACGTGTGCTTAGTCAGATTGGCTGAGGATTTTTTTTAAAGACAAGACCACAATAGATCTTCCCAAACTACATGTTCCTGTCCCTCTCTCTGCTGATAAGGGGCCTAATTTAGTTAGAAGGTCATTTTTATTATGCCTATTCAAAATCCTAGTATTAAAACACAAGGATGTATATTTTAGTGTCTTCCCACAATAACTAAATCAAGAGGTACGTGTGTGTGTGTGTGTATGTGTGTGTAAGAGAGAGAGGGGGGGGAGAGGGAGAAGTGTGCGGTAGGAACAACAAAAGTCAGTCTGTCAGGGTACTTTTCAATTCTGATTTTCTCCTGCTAATATTTATTTATTTATTTATTTATTTGACTTATATACCGCTTCATAGGGCTTTCAGCCCTCTCTAAGCGGTTTACAATATATATATTTTTTTAGCAAATTGAGTCAGCAACTTGCCCCCACAGTCCGGGTCCTCATGTCACCCACCTCTCTCTCT